AGGCCAGTAGAAGGCAGGAGACCAAGAACCTGCTGAAGGAGTATGGTCGCAGCCGCACAGCGCCTCCAGAACCTGCACCGACAGCACCAGCACCCCCAAGGCCAGCACCTCCAGCTCCAGGTTCTCCAGCTCTAGCGCCTACAGCACCACCAGCTCCTGCAACTCCAAGACCTCCAGCTCCAGCAGCTCTAGTACCTCTAGGAGCTCTAGCTTCCACAGCACCTCTAGCTCCAGCAGCTCCAGTACCTCCAGTATGAGGAGTTCCAGTACCTCCAGGACCTTCAGCAGCTCCAACAGCTCTAGGACCTCTAGCAGCTCTAGCAGCTCCAGCACCTCTAGTACCTCCAGCAGCTCCAGCGCCTCCAGCACCACCAGCTCCAGCAGCTCCAGTATCTCTTGAACGAGCATCTCCGGGACCAGCAGCTCTAGCACCTCCAGTAGCAGCACCACCACCAGCTCCAGCTCCACCACCAGCTCCGGCAGCTCCAGTACCTCCAGTACGAGCACCTCCAGAACTAGCAGCTCCAGCAACACCACTCCGAAGGCGGGTGCGCTAAGCAAACCACTTGCAAAGCTGCAGTGCTGAGAGAGTCTCCTGCCGGGACGAGGCTGCCGGAGTACCTCCAGCAGGGGCAGTACCCCTAGGCCCAGAACCCCCAGACGTAGCACCGACAGCTCCGGCAGGACCAGCGCCAGCACCTCTAGTACCTGCAGCACCTCTAGCGCCTCCAGGACAAGCAGCTCTAATGCCTCCAACTCAAGGGCCTCCGGCGGCAGTGTCTCCAGCGGCAGGCCCCCCAGCTCCAGCAGCGCCACTCCAGCGCTGAGCAAATCACTCCCGTAGCTGCAGTGGAGAGAGAGGCTCCCGCTGTGACGAGGCACCCAAAGGACCTCCAGCAGACACAGCACCTCCAGGCTCAGCACCCCCAGACGCAGTACCCCCAGGCTCCGCACCCTCGGGCTCAGCACCCCCAAGCTCAGCACCCCCAGACTCAGCAACTCCAGGCTCAGCAACCCCAGGCTCCGCGCGTGCAGGCCTAGCACCCTCAGACGCAACACCCCTAGCAGGACCTGAGTCGACAGCTACTTCGACACGCTCAGCCACGAGGGGGGGGGGGGGGGGTATTCCTGAGACACACCTGAGGGAGCACGACCGCGAGGAAGAGCGGCGGGGGGGGGGGGGAGAGGGGAGGTGCAGTAGGGGAAGAGACGGTAAAAGGGGACCGACACGTCAAACGTGACGCCTTGAAAGGGGAAGACACGGCGCGTGGTGGGGTGGTAAAACTGCTAGCCAAACGCGTCAGGGGGAAAGCCAAGGAAGACACTGGGAATGGCACGAGAGGAGAGCTTGTCCGCGGAAGCATCGCGGACTAAGGCACGACATTCCCAGACCCGGACCACCGACGCATCGCCAACCTCCCCCCCGTCCAACGCAGTGTGGGCGAGGTCTCTGGCAAGGAGACATGGGCCAGAGGTTGAGCTGATGCGCAGCGTACTGGAATGCAAACGGCTACAAAAAATGGGGGGCAGCCGCATGGATCATGGAGGTACGAGTGACCTCCATGACCAAGCCAATGCGGCACTCAGCAACCCCATTCTGCTGCGGAGAGGCCGGAAGCGTGAACGTCTGGCAGATGCCCTCCCCACGACAAAAGTCCCGCAAGAGGTTGGAGGAGAACTCACCACCTCTTACAGAGTGCATATGCAGGACAGGAAGGTCCTCACGGAACCGCTCGCGAAGCTGGAGACGGACAGCGCAGATCCAAGGGATCAAGACATCAGGGACCTCCCCCTTGCTGCGCAAGGGGAAGAGCGTGGTGTAACGCGAGTAGTCGTCAACAACCAGCAGAAAGTATCGCTCGCGGCCCTGTCCACGGACGCGGGCTGGGCCCCACACATCCATGTGAAGAGTCTGCAAGGGTGCCTCTGTCGGGGGAAACGAGGAGGAGTGAGGAGCGACGCGCTGCCGCCCCTTGACGCAAGGAAGACAGAGCGGGGCGGACGAGGGCGGGAGGGCAGGCAGAGACCTGGGAAGACCAGAGACAAGGTAACGGGAGTGCATGCCATGGAGGCGTGGTAGGGAGGGGTGACCAAGGCGGTGGTGCCAAAGGAGAGTGTGGTGAGACAGGGCGCGACACGAGCAGGGGGCCGCAAGCTGACCTGACGCGGACGCATACGCAGCTACCTGAGGAGGCTCAGTAGTCAATGTGTACAGACTTGACCCAGGCCGACGGGTGAACGTGGCCAGGTGACGGCGTGTCCGTGCACACGTGCAAATCGACACATGCTGACCCCCAGGAGTAAAGGTATCAACCATCGCATCGTGGAGGGCAGCAGTACTTGCCAAGTTCGTAGAGAATGAGGGGAGATGAAGACCTGAGAGTGAGCCGGACGGAACCGCCGGGCACGGGAGAACAGTGGCAGAACGGGCAAGAACTGGGCCCCATGAGGGGTCAGCCAGTCTGACAGCAACAGGTGTAGGGAGTGGTGTGAATGTGGTACTATCGCAAAAGAAATAGCGGGAAGCACCTGAGTCAAGTGTGAAGGTGGGCAAGGCCTTAGCAGGCGCAGTACCAGAGAGAGCAGACACACTAGCACCTAGAGAAGCAGCCTCTATGCCTGGGTCGGGCGGCACACACAGGTAACCGACACCCTTAGCACTAACATTCAATGCATACATGGCAGTAATGATAGCGTCTTAGTCTAGCGCAAAGACATCCACGCCTTGCCTAAGCAGCTCTAGCCAGAGGGGGAGCTTAGCCGCGTCGCCAAACTCTGCACGCCAGGTGTCGCTCAGACAAGAAAAGCAGCGAGACTGTGTGTGGCCAGGTGTCTTGCATGTCTGACCAGCCCGATCACCTGTGCGAATGATGTACGGGCAGCGAGCACTACTCAAAGACCCCCCACAGCGTACCACTCACGAAGCTGCTGGGGCGTAAGGATCTCGCGCGGACGCGGCTGCAGCTGCACCAGGCCACCGCCAGAAACTCCCAACTGACTAGCTGCACCGCGACTGCCACTACTGCCGCCGCTACGACACCTACGAGCGTACCACTCACGAAGCTGCTGGGGCGTAAGGGTCTCGCTCGGACGTCGCTGCAGCTGCATCTGGCCACCGCCAAGAACTCCCCACCGAACAGCTCTATTCGACTACTACTGAGACCGCCACCACTCCCAATGCTGCCGCCACCGCCGCCACCACTCCCACCGCTCCCATGAGGAGAAGTCATACGACCAGCTAGGCAACACATAGGGAAGGAAGGGTGGCAAGGAGGCACTAGGGTAGGTCGGGGCGATGCACGGTCAGGGAAGGGCGGCGCGCGGCAAGAGCAGGGCGGCGCGCGGCCAGAGAAGGGCGGCGTGCGGCCAGAGTAGGGCGGCACGCGGCCAGAGCAGGGCGGCGTGCGGCCAGAACAGGGCAGTAGCAGGCAGCAGCAGGCAGTAGCTCCTAGGGTTTTTTTTTTTTTTTTTTTTTTTTTTTTTAAAGGTTTAGCAGGGCGCGCTGGGCGCTGCAGAGGCGGCTCGCGGGCTGCAGGGGCAGCGTGCGGGCTGTAGGTTGCGTGGAGCAGGCAGGGCAGGGCGCTGGCGCGGGCAGGGCAGGGCGCCAGCGTGCGTAGGGCAGGGTGCTGGTGCGTCGGCAGAGCAGGGTGCTGGCGCGGGCAGAGCAGGGCGCTGGCGCGGGCAGTGCAGGGCGCTAGCGCTCGCAGGGCAGGGCGTTGGCGCGTGGCGTAGGCAGGGCAGGGTGCTGGCGCGTGGCGCAGTTAGGGCAGGGCGCGTTGCGCAAACAGCGCGCGCACGGGCAAGGCGGTGCTGGGCAGCAGAGGGAAGCGGCGCACGGGCTGCAGCAGGGCGTGACGAGAGGGGCTGTAGGGTGCGACGCGCGGGCTGCAGGGTGCGATGCCCAGGCGGCAGTGGGGCGCGACGCGTGGGCTGCGGCAGGGCGTGACGCGCGGGGCAGCAGGGCACGACGCGCGGGCTGCATCAGAGTGTGATGCACAGGGCAGCAGAGCGTGTCGCGCGGGCTGCCGTAGGGCGCGACATGCAGGGCAGCAGGGCGCTACGCGCGGGCTGCAGCAGAGCGCGACGCGCGGGGCAGCAGAGCACGACGCGCGGGGCAGCAGAGCGCAAAGCGCGGGCTGCAGCAGGGCGCGACACGTAGGGCAAGGCGTGCGCGAGGCAGCGCGACGCGGGGCAGGGCAGGGCGTGCGCGGGGCAGCGCGACGCAGGGCTGGGCGTACACGGGCAGTATGACTCAAGGCAGAGCAGGGCAGGGCGCGCGCTGACGGCGCAGCGCAGGACAGTGCGTGGGGTAACGCGGTAACCGCAGTCGATCACTAAGTAATGGTGGGCCCGAAAAAAAAAACGGTCCTACGGACCTACTCCTCTGATACCATGTCTAGAAGTAACAGCAGGGATGAATGAACTAGCAGTAGGATGGGTACAAGTACTAACCCTAATTGGGTTGTACCCCATATGGGCTACTCCACTACAGCCTACACAACATGTAGCATATGAGTTTGACATTATCTACTTTGTGTGATCATTGGGTTATGACTAAAAATGGATCTTTGGTTGGGTGGTTACGAAGGCAACTTTGACTATTGGATTGGGGTGGCTAGAAGTTTCTAGCATGGGTTGCAATTGTTGCAACACCTAGGAAAAATCCAACTAGATTGAATTTTGCATGTGACACCCTAAGGACCTTATGAAGAGGGTTGCATCCTTGCTGCTAAAAAGGTTCTTACCATCCTTCCCTAGCTCTTGGATGCCCCTTCCTTCTCATGGTTCTCTTGGAGTTTTCAACTCCAACATTCTGTGTCTTAATGTTTGTACTTCCTCCACCATCCTAGTTATGCGGCTGCTGGACGTTTTTTTCTTGGTTCCCTCTCTCTAGACCATCTTTTTAAGTGATTCAAGTTGGAGATGGTAGCTAAGCCTAAGGCGCAACATCCTACCGAGCGGATTTGCGTTTAGTTGAGAAATGAGTTCGTCGTAAGCTCTCAAAGTGACGGATCCTGAACAACACACATGGATGGGGGGAAACGAGAGGGGGAAAGGGGCGGGTGAGGAGGCACATCTGGGGAAATAGGAGGGAGAGAGGGGGGAAGTGAGCTTGAGAGGGGGGGGGGGGATGAGAGGGAGAATGGCGAAAAATGAGAAGGAGAAAGGGGGGACATGAGAGGGGGGAGGGGGGTAGACGAGAGGGGGAAGGGGGGACACAAGAGGGAGAAGGGGGGGTGAATGAGAGGGAGAAGGGGCAAAAATGAGAGGCAGAAAATGGGGCAATGGGAGGGAGAAGGGGAGGAAATGAGCAGGTGAATGGGGGGGAAACAAGAGGGGGAAAGGGGGGGGGGATGAGGAGGCACATCTGGGGAAATGGGAGGGAGAAAGGGGGGAAGTGAGCTTGAGAAGGGGGGGGGGGGGGGGGGGGATGAGAGGGAGAATGGCAAAAAATAAGGAGAAAGGGGGGACATGAGAGGGGGGAGGGGTGTATATGATAGGGGGAAGGGGGGAAACGAGAGGGAGAAGGTGGAGAGAGGGAGAAGGTGGGGAAACAAGAGGGAGAAGGGGGGGGTGAATGAGAGGGAGAAAAGGGGTAAATGAGAGGCAGCATGGGGGGCAATGAGAAGGAGAAGGGGAGGAAATGAGCAGGTGAATGGGGGGGAAACGAGAGGGGGAAGGGGGAGGGGGGGGATGAGGGGGCACGTGAGGGTTAAAGAAAGGGAGAAAGAGGGGATTTCAGATTGAGGAGGGGGAATGAGAGGGAGAACGGGGGAATATGAGAAGGGGAAAGGGGGGACATGAGAGGGAGCAAGAGGGGAAATGAGAGGGAGGAGGGGCGAAAATGAGAAGGAGAAGCGGGGGTAATGAGAGGGGGAAGGGGGGTCAACGAGAGGGGGAAGGGGGGGAAGGAGAGGGGGAAGGGGGGGAAAGGAGAGGGAGAAGGAAAGGGGGCAATAAAAGGGAGCCGGGGGGATGAAAGATGGGGAGGCTTGCACACGGAATGGCGAGGCTTGAGATGGACATGGGTGGGTTGGCTGGGGAAATAGGGAGGCATTTATGAGGGAAATTAGGAGCCAAGAAGGGGAAACGGGGAGGTGGGAACGGGAAACGTGGAGCGGAAAGGGGAAACGGGGAGGCGGGTAGGGAAAACGAGGAGGCGAGAAGGGGAAGCAGGGAGGCGTGGAAGGATAATCGGGAGCGGGAAGGGGAAACAAGGAGCGGGAAGGGGAAACGGGGAGCGGGAAGGGGAAACGGGGGGGCGGGTAGGGGAAACGAGGAGGCGGGTAGGGGAGACGAGGAGTTGAGAAGGAGAAACGGGGAGGCGGGGAGGGATAACGGGAACCGGGAAGGGGAAACGGGAAGGTGGGAAGGGGAAACGGGGAGCGGGAAGGGGAAACGGGGAGCGCGAATGGGAAACGGGGAGGCATGGAGGGGTAATGGGGAGCGGGAAGGGGAAACGGGAAGGTGGGAAGAGGGAACGGGGAGCGGGAAGGGGAAACGGGGAGGTGGGAAGGGGAAATAGGGAGCGTGAAGGGGAAACGCGAATGTGGGAAGAGGAAACAGGGAGCGGGAATGGGAAATGGGGAGGCGGGAAGGGGAAATGGGGAGGCGGGAAGGTGAAATGGGGTGCGAGAAGGGGAAACGCAAGTGTGTGAAGGAGATACTGGGAGCGGGAATGGGAATCGGGGAGGCGGAAAGGGGAATGCTGCTGGAGGTGCTGGAGGTGCCGGAAGTGCTGGAGCAGCTGGTCCTGGAGGTGCTCGTACTAGAGGTACTAGAGCTGCTAGAGCTGGTGGTGCAATTGGTGCTGGAGGTACTGGAGGTGCTGGAGCTGGTGGTGGTGGTGCTGCTAGAGGTGCTGGAGCTGCTGGTCCCGGAGGTGCTCGTACTAGAGATACTGGAGCTGCTGGAGCTGGTGGTGCTGCTGGTGCTGGAGGTACTGGAGCTGCTGGAGCTGGTGGTGGTGCTGCTGCTGGAGGTGCTCGAGGTGCTGGAGCTGCTGGTCCCGGAGGTGCTTGTATTGGAGGTACTAGAGCTACTGGAGCTCGTGGTACTGCTGCTGCTCGAGGTGCTGGAGCTGCTAGTCACAGAGGTGCTCGTACCGGAGGTACTGGAGCTGCAGGAGCTTGTGGTGGTGCTGCTGCTGGAGGTGGTGGAGCTGCTGGTCCCGGAGGTGCTCGTACTAGAGGTACTGGAGCTGCTAGAGCTGGTGGTGCTACTGGTGCTGGAGGTACTGGAGCTCCTAGTGCTGCGGGCTCTGGAGCTGGAGCCGCAGGAGCTGGAGGTGCTGGAGCTAGAGGTGCTCGAGCAGGAGGTTCTAGAGCTGCTGCAGGCGCTGGGGCTGCTGGTACTTGTACTGGAGGTGCTAGAGCTGGTGCAACTGGTGCTAGTGGTACTGCACAGCGACGAGTGTTCTTCGCTCCGCCGTCACCGTTGTCTCTGCCACCGCCTGACTCGGTGCTTCGCCAGGTTCTTAGCCTCTCATCTTCTACTGGCCTCCCATTACAGCCAGGCTCCCCACTGCTTGCTCCTTCTCCTAACACTGAGTAGTCGGACTCTCTTACAGAGCGTCGTGAGCCTGCGTCTTATCCTGCCTCCCCTGTTCGCGCTTTTCGCCCTGGTCGCCGTGTTCCGTGTCCGCGTCCTCCTCCTGTCCCTAGCACGCACACTATGGCACTTCGTCCTTCCTCTGTTCCACTGCGAGTTCCCCTGCCATCTCCTCCTGCGTCCTCTCTTCCTGACGTACTAGACCCTGAGTCTGACTTAGTTCGTGTTGCCAGTCCTACTGTCACGCGTCTCCTGGCCACCGTTGTCACTGGCTCTTCGTTTGAGTCCACTGCCGCGTCTGCCCTAATCGCTGAGCTTGTTGACTTTGCTGCTGCCTCTCGTCTCGACTATGCCACTAGTCTTGTTGCTGAGTCTGAGTCTGTCTGTCCTCCGTCCATCGGGGGTGAGTGTGCTCTTGGCACGGACGTTCTTGAGGAGAGGCAGGAGGACTTGGAGTGTCTTGTAGCTGCTTTACCCCATCTCATGGCCATGCTGCTTGCACCTGAGGGAGACCCAAATGCTCCAGACATCTCGACCCCGCGCTCTTACGTAGAGGCTATTACGGGTCTCTACTCCTCTCGGTGGCAGACAGCCATGGACGCAGAGATGGCATTGTAGAAGTCCACAGGCACTTACGTCGACGACGTTCCCCCTCCTGTGGTGAAGAGTCGATGGCATGTGGATTTTCAGGGTGAAGCGGCCGGGTTCTCCGCCTGTCTTCAAGGCGCGTTACGTTGCATGGGGCTTTAGTCAGCAACAGGGAGTTGACTTCTTCCAGACCTTCTCCCCTGACCCGAAGATGACCACTCTTCGGGTGCTGCTGCACGTCGCCGCTCAGCGTGACTACGAGCCTCGTGAGTGGCACAACACACTGAGGACCACACTTGCGGCTCTTGGGTTTGCTCCTTCGACTGCTGACCCGTCGCTGTTTCTGCGCACCGAAACTTTGCTGCCGCCGTTCTACAAAGTCGTGTACATCGATGACTTGGTCTTTGCCACTGCTGATACTAAGGGACTAGCCCTTGTGAAGTTGGAGCTGCAGAAGAGAGACGCGTGCACAAACCTAGGTGAGCTGCGCAGCTATCTTCGCTCTGCGTTAATTCCTTGCTCGAGAGTTGCAGCAGCGTGGTCAGCTTTGTCTTGCTTACATGGCCACTTGGGCCAACACTGCTGATGTATTCACCAAGGCACTTCAGCCTCGTGATCATCAGTGTTTCTGTATTGTTTTAGGCCTTGTGCCTACTTTGCCTCAGTTGCTTACTTCGTGACTTTGCTTGTACTGTAATCTATATGCTTATATCTGCATGCTTACACCTGCTAGGTTGTGATCACTGTATTGCTCGTTCCCATATCTATAACTCTGCATGTGAACTGGCCTTGTGGCCATTTTCTTGTGCTCAGAGTGTGTGGTGACTTCGTGATCCACCCTGAGCTTGCTTAGCTTTTCTTGACTGGTCTTGTGACCCCTTGTTCTCCCCCACTTTGCCTTTGGGGGTGTGTCAAACTATAATGCTGCTTATGTTGTGTAGGCTGTAGTGGGGTAGCCTATATGGGGTACAGCCCAACTAGGGATAATACTTGTACTCAGTGTTGATGTCAATGCAATCATTCCTGCTCATCAGATTTTGACAACGGCTGTCGCTCGGCGACAGTAGCGTACGTGACGATCTGCAGCTCCTGACGCGCGTTTCTAGCAGCTGCGGCCTTATGTGCGACTGCTGCCATATGTTGTGACTGTAGCGGCTGGCTCGACTGCAGCAGCTGCCGCGACCCCGTGCAGCATGGCACGCAGCTACTTCTCTTGTCGCGCTGCTGTTGATGCGCGACCTCCTCCTGCCAGTGCGGACGAAATGGCGCTCCTGTAGCGTTTGCATCACCTTGCGTATGACTGCTCCGCCCTCATTCGGCAATTCGCCTCACGTAAGCAGTCGCTGACGACCGGGCGCGAGTCTGCTGCCGCATCGGCGGCAGCCACCTGCTCTTGCTACTCGACGTCTGCAGCATCTGCTGCTCCTAGTGTGGGTGTGTGGCATCTGCACGGCGACACTTGGCGCTTGGGTAGAAGACCCTGCACACTTCTGCAGCAGTAGGTCCTCTGTTGCGTCAGCGCCCCTGGCGATTGGCAGCAGTTGCTGTCAGAGGGCGGCAGCGGCATGCGCGCCGATGCATCACACGGCGCAATCTTCCCCTGCTTCAGCGAACAATCTGGTGCGAGGCGGCTGCTGCTACTTGACGTTTGCTGCACCTACTGTCCCGGGTGGCATAAGGCAGCAGCTCCTCGTGGCGCGCGGTAGCAGCAGCTGATGACGACGGCGGCAGCAGCTGATGACGACGACGGCAGCAGCTGATGGCGACGGCGGCAGTAGCTGATGATAGCGGCAGTGGCAGCATGCACCCGTTACCTAAGGCTGCGGACGGGAGACGCACGGCAGTTTCTCCTGGCGGCGCACGGCTGCTGCTTCAGGTAGCGCACGGATTTCTCCTTTCTGCCGAGGTGAGGATGCTTAGTCAAACCTTGACTGTTTCACCCATGTTACCCTGTTACCTTGTGCTTCTCCATATTACTCTGTGCTGCTCTATGTGACGCTGTGTTGCTATACGTAACCTTGTGCTGCCCCCCCTACACCAGGTGGCGCACGGAAGCAGCTGCAACTGGCGTTCACCAGCACTTGGCTGGCTGCTCCTGCACCTGGCGGGCTGCTCCTGCACCTACAAATAGCAGCATCTGCGGCGCCTGACAGGCGATAGTAGCAACATCGCCTGGCCGCCTGCAGCTCCATGGTGAGTGCTTCCAGCTATCTACCCCTGCCTCATACTGTAATGGTGTCTTGCACTTTGTAGAACCTTGTCCTCTTGTGCCTGCTTCCACTTGTGATGCCCTTTGCCTTCTGTTGTTGCGCTTAACTCGGATATCATGTCACATTCCAATGGTCTTGTGATATCTTCTACCCCCCCCCACACCAGCTGGCGAACTGGAGCATCTGCAGCAACTGCTGGCCGCCAGGTGCAACCGCTAGCTTGCTGCATTAGCTCTTGGCAACGTGCACCGTGCACCAGTTCCTGGTACGCACTTTGCGTCAATGGCAACTTGCCTTGTCCCTTTGATCGTAGCAGCAGCTTATCAACTCGTGACTGTGATCCCCACTCACACCATTGTTGTTGTGCGTGACTCCCCCTAAAACCTGCAGGTACTGTGCATCAACCAGCGGTCTTGGCGATTGAAGTCAGTAGCTGTGACTGTCTAGCAGAAAAACTCTCGGCTGCGGCTGCTACCATGCCTTGTATATTCATTGCAGTAGGTCTCATCCTGATGCTCATCATCGTGTGTAACCTGAAAAGTGAAAATGAATGTGAACTCCCAACTTTTCTTTGCTGTAGTCCAAGGTACTCCACACCCCACTCCCCCTCTCACTCGTGAGTTTGTCATCATGTATGCGTGTAAGTACACACACAGCAGCAACCACACGAGTGAGATATGTAGAGTTACGTGATGCCTTGCCGTTCAGCACCCTTTAAAGCCGGCGGCCCAAATTGTTCATGCTTTTAAAAGTTGACCAGAGGGAGTTTTTCTGGTGTGGGCTTTGGCGAGAGTTTCCGATTTCGTCTAGGTTCGTTTTTTTCGCGAGACCCAGCCAACCCTCGGTTTTCCCCCTGGTGAGTGAATCTGTCTTCGGAAGTCCCAAATTGCAAGTGCGTGACTTTCAAAAGCTTGGACACTCAACTTCGTCAAGATTTAAAAACTTGACCCTCGCGGCCCGCAATTTGGGACGCGGGCTTTAAGAAGCCCGTACCTGTGAGTCTAGCTCCAGCGCCTTCAATCTGCTGACTGGTTGCAGACGGTGCTCCAGGCGGAATGGGTTGGAGACCATACAAGAGGCTG